AAGTGTATCATTGTATTCAACAAAGCAATGATTTCGCTCAGAGCATCGAAACGTCTAGATCCTTCCAAAGTTTCTCGCGCAAGCTACAATAACATGTGATTATCGTTTCACGCTCGACTTGGCCGAGCAAAAATACGCTATTCAGCAACTTTTTGTCCTCGTATAGATACAGAGTGTAGCTCCCTCTGCCACTTCTCTCCCCTCCTTTCTACGTTTAGAGAAACGGTTGAAGCACACGTGCTGTTATTGTCTCTAACGTGCTCGCCGATTGGAGACTATCTGAAGAAAGTTTTGATGGGTATCAGTTGAGCAGGATTATAGTATTTTTCGCATGGTAACTTTTCAATCTATTTAATTCTGGGAATAACAAAATCGTAGAAATAATCGAGAATTCGCAGATTGATTCGTGAAGTTTCGGTAGAAATAATAAAATTTAAAAAGAGTGATTATTTCAACGTTTAAAGTATCATTTTTCTAAAATTCTCATAGTTTTATTCTTCTAGAATAGCGATCTCGAATTGGATCATATTTTTAATCATATTTTATCATTTTATTTTGTAAAGTGTTCTAACGTCAGAGTTTCATTTTCTTGGAACATTATTCTATTTTTTTCAAAATGTCTTGAGAATAACTTAAAAATAACTTGAGAAGTATTTGAAAAATAAACGATTTCTAATTGAAAAAATTAATTTTGTTTTATTAAATGAAGAATAATTAATGTATTTAATTATTATCAAATTATTTAAGATATTACAATTCTAAGAATAATTTATAATATAATATCAATGAAAAATAAAAGACTATGTATTTCTTAAATCACTTGTGCGAATAATGAAAAATTTGAGACAACATAATATTCAAAAAAATATCAATTACAAATCGATAATTCTATTAATAATAATCGAAATAATAATCGAACAACTTTTTCTCAAATATAAATCACTGAATGCTAAATGTTAAATAAATTAAATAATATTGAATATGTTAAATAATATTGAATTAAACAAACTCATTAAATCAAACAAATAAACAGAAAATAACGATCTCTAGTAACAAGAAATTTATCTTTGGAAAAAAAAAAAAAAACAAAGGAATTTAGAAATCCAATCGATCACGAATTTCTGCATTTAATCTCGTCGATCAATTTCCGTATCCGTATCGTTGTATAAAGTATTGTAACAAAACGGGTATAACAAAACGAGAAAAAGTGAAATATACAATTTAATCACAGACTAGCATGACATGAATACGTACATAAATTAAATAAATTAATCGAATGTTCGGATTGGCAATTAAGGGTTAATTAAGCTGCCGAGTTCATAGATTTTATGATATGTCTCCATTGTGTTATTTAACGAGATGTATAATTTCGGAGAAAATATACGGGAACAATTTGTAATAGCCGTGATCTGAATTTATGGCGACGATGGAGATTTTTATTTCGTTACCGAAGATGTCTTTTTTTTATCATGAAAGTGGCGAGATATTAATTAAATGTATCAATTATACAAGTATAAGGGTATCTGAGAACATTAAAACATTGGAGTTTCCTCATTAAGTTTATAAAAAACCATTTATTAAGGTATAATGAATTTACAAAGAAAAGCCTATAACTTTGTAATTACGATAGAAACGTATATTGTAAATTGGATATACGCTAGTCGATAATATTAAAGGACCTCGTAATATTTTTTTTTATTTTATCTTGAAAAAAAATAAGAAACCACTTGAATTATTATTAGATCACGAATTATTTATACAAATTTAGAATTTTACGAATAATTGAATTAAATCTTTAAATTGTTTTTTGTACGTCATATAATACTACAAACAAACTATATAGCACTATTAATGATTCAGACTCTTCATAAATTTAAAAGCTAAAATCAAAGAGATATCGAGAGAATTATTATTTTAAATTCGAATCAATAAGTTTCATTCGATTTTAAAATAAAGAAAGCTGAAATTTTATCATGCGTATGAACTCATCACCACATTATATCTTGTATCGATTCAACTAAGAGAAACATTTTACCGTAGCAAGATGTCTTCACCCAACGTTGTCCATAAAGTAGATAAAAACGCGGAGGCAGCGATCCGTTGGTAAAAGCCTTGCTCCTCGATGATGGCAAACATACTCGATGGTAAAAAGAAGAGGAAGAAAAGAGAGAGAAAGAGACTTCCTTCGTACTTCTGTGAAACGTATGGGAAGCAAGTGGATCGAGAGAGACGAAGAAACAGAGATCTTTGGAAAGAAACAATTCGTTTTAAACGTCGACCAGATAAAATTTACGATGGTTAATGTAATAATCCCTCCTAAGTGAGAGTTTGATATAGTCTCGCAGTTTCGAAAAGAGGAATTGTACATGTATAAGGATATTAAGTTCCTTTTAAACGAGAACAGTTAGATATAAGGAAAAATGTTTTCATATCTATATTAATTAATAGTCTAAATGGAATTATATAGGAATGAATAAAATGAATTTCTCAAGATAATTTTTCAATTATGATGGCTATTTCAAAATTCTATCGTATAATTTTGAATCATTGATTTCACACAAAAAAGAATTTTTTCACGTTCCTGAATATTTTTGATCTCGTTTCATTCTATTTTTGTTCATTATATTCATCGAAAAATCTCAATATCTGCCATTGAAGAGAAATTCTTTTCGATTTTTCATGCGATATACTAATCGATTTTCCATAAAATACGATATAGTATTCAAACGATATTTAATTTATTTATTTCTTCGTTACCAAACAATCTTTGTTAAAACATTTTTTTTTTTTCTTTTTTCGACAATTTTTAAACCCCACCAATGTTTTACTCTTCAAAGATTTAAACGCCCTGCACAAAAATTTCTTCCCGACTTATCTTCAGTCGAGCAGAATAATCTTCTTAGTCCGATATCGTTTCGCATTTTTACCCCCGTCACGGGGGTGGGCGTGTAAGGTTGGAAAGAGAGGCTGGAGAGAGAGAGAGAGAGAGAGAGAGAGAGAGAGAGAGAGAGAGAGAGAGAGAGAGAGAGA